GCCATCTCCTTATGTCACCATCACCATCTCCTCAGCATCACCCATCCCCAAACACCCCCTCACCATCTCCCCATCACCATCTCCTCATCTCAGCATCACCCATCCCCAAACACCCCCTCACCATCTCCCCATGTCCCCATCACCATCTCCTCATCTCAGCATCACCCACCTCGAAACACCCCCTCACCATCTCCCCATCTCCCCATCACCATCTCCTCATCTCAGCATCACTCAGCACCAAATAGCCCATCGCCATCTCCCCATGTCCCCATCACCATCTCCTCATCTCGCCATCACCCAGCGCCAAACACCCCATCGCCACCTCCCCATGTCACCGTCACCCAGCACCCACCTCCTCATCTCGCCATCACCCATCCCCAAACACCCCCTCACCATCTCCCCATCACCATCTCCTCATCTCAGCATCACCCAGCGCCAAACACCCCGTCACCATCTCCCCATGTCACCATCACCATCTCCTCATCTCAGCATCACCCAGCACCAAACACCCCCTCACCATCTCCCCATGTCACCGTCACCCAGCACCCGTGGCCTCGTGTCACCGTCACCCAGCGCCCATCTCCTCATCTCAGCATCACCCATCCCCAAACACCCCATCACCATCTCCTCATCTCACTGCTACCATCTCCCCATGTCACCATCTCCATCTCCCCGTGTCACCATCACCCACCTCCAAACACCCCGTCACCATCTCCCCATCTCCCCATCACCCATCTCCTCACCTCAGCATCACTCAGCACCAAACATCCCCTCACCATCTCCCCATCGCCCACCTCCCCATCAACCATCTCAGCATCACCCAGCACCAAACACCCCGTCCACACCTTCCCATGTCACCGTCACCCACCCCCAAACACCCCATCACCATCTCCCCACGTCACCATCTCCCCATCACCATCTTCCCGTCACCGTCACCCAGCACCGAACACCCCATCACCATCTCCCCATCTCCCCCTCACCATCTCCCCATGTCCCTGTCACCATTTCCCCACGTCACCATCACCCAGCACCAAACACCTCCTCACCATCTCCCCATCTCCCCCTCACCACCTCTCCATGTCCCCCTCACCATCTCCCCATGTCACGGTCACCCAGCTCCCGTGGCCTCGTGTCACCGTCCCCCAACGCTCATGTCCTTGTGTCACCATCCCCTCAGCACCAAAACCCCGTCACCATCTCCCCATGTCCCTGTCACCATCTCCCCATCTCACCCATCACCATCTCCCCATGTCCCCATCACCATCTCCCCATCTCCCCCTCACCATCTCCCCATGTCCCTCTCACCATCTCCCCATCTCACCCATCACCATCTCCCCATGTCCCTCTCACCATCTCCCCATCTCACCCATCACCATCTCCCCATGTCCCTCTCACCATCTCCCCATCTCCCCCTCACCACCTCCCCATCTCCCC